ATCTTCCTTCTGTAAGTAGCTCTTTTATTGTTTTGTGTACTTCTTTTAATCTTGTTTAAGTAGTAAGTACACAAAATAATAATTTCTTTTTTTAATCGTTTTGTAGATCATACATTGGGGCAAAGAATTCAGTGACATTGTCTTGGCCATTCCCACCTGGTCACATGGCTGGCAAGCCACTCCCACCTGGTCACATGGCTGGCAAGCCACACCCACCTGGTTACATGGCCGGCAAGCCACTCCCACCCAATCACATGGCTGGCAAGCCACTCCCACAAAGCAGGCCACACCTACAGAAGAGGTTCCAAAATTTTTTGAAACTCACCACTGATACAGAGCATATATAAAGTTCTACATCAGCATCTCAGTGAATGGTAGCCATTATTATCTATAGCTGTCATTCCCAACTTTTTTTGGCCATGCCCCACATAAGCATCTTTAAAATCCTGATGCCCTCCCTGTGACATACACTGTATTTTTCAGAGTATAAGATGCACCTTCCCCCCCCCCCAAAGAGGGTGAAAATCTGGTGTGTCTTATACACTAAATACAACATTTTTGGCCTTCTGAAACCCCACCCCGTGCATCCCATTTTTCACAAAAATGGATATGCAGTGGGTTTGGGAGGCCTGTAGAGTGTTCTTGGGGGCCCGGGAGGGCAAAAATGAGTGAAAAAGAGCTCATTTTTCACAAAAACAGGTGTTTTTGACCTTCCAAGCTTCCAGGAACACTCTGCAGGCCTTCGAAACTCTCTGTACACCCAGTTCTTGTGAAAAACGGGACATGCAGAGGGTGTGGGAGGCCTGCAGACTGCTCCTGGGGGCTGGGAAGGGCAAAAACATTTTTTTTAAAATTTACCTCTTCAAAATCTTGGTGCATTTTATACTCCGGTGCATCTTATAGTCCGAAAAATATGGTAATTCTTACTTTACTCAAAAAGTGAACTCTACACACAGGCCAATAACTTGGTTTAAACAAGGTTCAAACTGCCCTCATTAAAAATCAAATTGAGGGAACCACTGTTCTACAGTTAATGTACATAATTTGTAATTTATTTGTAAACTGTAATAACATCAATCAACAGTGCAGAACTCTGAGTAACTGGGGACATAAATTTGTTTTTTCAGTGCTGGAGAACAAGTCTCAGCTATAAGAAAGGCATGGAAAACCTCTTCTCTTTGTCCTGATGGTGATAGGCAGGGCCGGATTTAGATGAAAAGAGGCGTTAGGCTATTCCACTTATGAGGCCCTTTCACCTACCATTTTTAAGTTTGTAAATTGCATGAGAGACAATAAAATACATCATTACTATGATATATATCTATATATATAGCTGGCCTCCCGACGGATGGCGGCAAAGGCAGCGAGGCCAGCCGCCTCCCCTGCTGCGCTCAGCTGCCCGGCTCGGCCCCCTCGCCCTCACCTGCCTGGCTGCTGGTGGGCTCCATGTCAACGGGGCAGCTACTGGGAGCGGCCGCGCCTCTCGCCCGACCGCCAGTGCCGGGAACATGGGCGGGCTCCCCAACTGCCGCGGCGCTGGAGCGATCTTAACCAATACATTTTTATGTTTGTTTATTAGTCATAT